AGTTAACATGGTCACTTATACGTTTAGCAGGCCTTCTATTGCTCGTATAATGGTGGAAAGAGATATCACAGCACATATGCCCGAAAGAAGTTTAGTTGGGTTCTCAGAATAATGGTTACCGGCAGAAAGTACAGGTAGAATACATGAAGAAGTAATGTCACAAATGCAGAATATTTGGTCATAACATCGAGACATGTTTTGTGGCTCATCCAATGCAGAAGGAAAAGTATAATCATGGGTCGGGCAAAGAGCAAAGGCAGCTATCTCAGGAGAAGTTGGGAAACATAACTCAAGTCAGCAACAACATGGAAATCAGGAATCGGAAAATGCCTTAGATTCAACTTTAAATAAGGGCAAGGAAGATGGACCTGAGCTAGTGTTGTTGGACACAGAATCAACCGTTCAGATGGAACAGATGGCTATTAATAGTTTGGGTTGTAATATTCTGCATAATCAGTAGAATGGGAATCCAGAAAATGTCTTAGAGCAGCCTAGAGATAATGCTTACGGCAGTTACTGAATTTATGCAAGGTAAATAGATTGGAGGAGACGGGTTGGAAGGTAATGCCCAATTACAGTTAGTCTTTAATTCCTAAAGAGAACATCAAAGGGATCCTGGAGAACTACAAACTCTGGAAGTGGGGATTCAAGATGGACAAAAGGATCTCAATGGAGAATGGCAGACTCAAAGAAGGAATAAAGTTACTGGGAAAATAAACAGAGTTAAGCTATATGAATAAGAATGCAATTATACAGATCAATGAAAGCTTATCTGCAGGGATTCTTGCTAATGTGAGGATTACTAGAAGGAGTGAATCCATTAATAATGTCTAATTTCCAATTTGGAATGTTAGGGGCATTGCAAAAAGCCAAGCCTCTAACAGATTGGTGAAGGATTCACAAATTAAGATGTTTTGCCATCATTGAACCTATGATAGCTGTGGAAAATATTCCCAGGGCTGTAAAAAAGCTGGGAAAATATAACTATCTCTATAACTGCAATTATAAGATCAGGTTTCCTTGGAAACAGGAGGTTGGAGTCAGATTGCTTGTTGATAACCCACTATTCCTGCACCTGGAAATTCAGGTTCTCCAATTTACAGTGCAACTTTCAATAGAGTATGCTGGGTGCACATCAAATGATAGTCAGCTGTGGTTAGATTTGGGCAATGCTAGAAGCCAGGTGAACTGTCCTTGGATAGTTGGAGGTGATTTTAATGTAATAGCATCTGCTGTAGAAAAGAAAAGGGGACGGGCTCCTTGCCACAAAGTAACGGAAAAATTTAGAGAGAACTACAATAGTGCTGGACTATACAAAGCAAAATTCATTGGCTGCATGTTCGCTTGGCAAAGGGGAACAGATCATGGAAAGGCTGGACAGAATTTTCCTTAATCAAACATGGCTGGATAATTTTCAGTTCTCGAAGTGGCTCATCTCAGTAAAACAGGTTCAGACCACAGCCTGTTTTTGCTGAAGGTGGAGGTGATGGAGTTGATTCCAAAACCAGTGGCTAAGCAATTTCATTTCCTCAATGTCTGGTCATCTCATGGTAACTTCTTGAATACTGTGACAATGAACTGGATCACTGATTCATATATTTCTCGTTGGTTTAACCTCTGGGAAATGCATTAAAGGATGGCAAGAGAACTACTAATCTGGAACTGGGAAGAATTGGGAATGTTCATAAGCAGGTGCAAGATGCTGAGGAGATGGTAACAAATTTGGAAATGGATTATGCTAATGAGCTGGTGCAAGAAGCTGAGCTGATTAGAGCACAAAATTTCCTTATGGATGCCATATACAGGGAAGCAGAGTTCTTAAAACAAAAATCCACATATCTCTGCCATGTGGAGGGTGATAGGAACACAAAGTTTTTCCATGCTTGTATCAAGCAAAGAAGACCAGAAAACGTCATCCTAAAGATCAAGGAAGATAACGGGGACCGGATTCACTCTAAACATCTTATTTTCAACAGTGCGATTAGCTATTTCTGGAACTTCTTTAAGGAAACAGAAGTGGATCTAAGAAGTTTCGATTATGAATGTATACCGTGGGCTTCTGATATAACTGCAGATCCTGCTCTTTCGAAGCAGCCACAAAATTGGAAATTCGAGAAGCTCTTAATTCTATTGATGCAAATAGGGTGGTTGGCCCAAATGGTTTTAGTTCTGCATTCTATATTCATTTATGCGAGATTATCAAAGAGGAGCTGAGAGCAGCAATTGAACAATTCTTCATGGGTGTTCTTCCTCATAGATT